CAAAACCTCAATCTGACTTAAATTTTTCCCTCAGTTTTTTCTTCTGTGTTTTTGATAACACTGTCTTCATAACTTCCTTCGTTATTCACACATCCATTTTCACTTGTTTGCGCAAGTCTTTTAAACAGACACAAGAAAGAAAAAAAGCATCTCAATGCAGAGAACACGAAAGGAGTTATGTGCTAGTTCTGCCAACCATCATAAAGATGAAAATCATCTTTATTATTTGTTTTATACAGGGCATTGAGCAGGAGCTTTGTGCTCTTCTTTCTTTACATAGCCAGGATTTTTAGCCTTGTTTGTGTCAATCTTTTGAACATCAACAGAAGAGACAACATCTTGAAAAATAGGAACATACAATTGTAAAACAAACAAAAAGAGTCAGGGAGTTTGGGAACAGATACACCACCTCAAAATCTTTTGAATCCTTCCTAGCCCCCTGCCACAGCCCTCCCCTGCTTTGGATTACTTCTTAGTATTCTGTGACATCCTTGATTTAGCTAAATAAACTTCTCAAAACGGTTTAACGTACACAAAGATCCTCCCAGTAGGTATTAGCTGCCAGCTCCTCTGGGGCAGGCAGATACAACTAAGTGAGATACAGTTGCATTGAAAGGGAGAAATATTAGCCAGAACAAGCAAATTTATCTTTGTGATACAATGCAAGGGCCATTTGGGCAGAGCTCAGATTTCCTCCAAGGAACCCGTTTACCTGACCCACGTTCATGTAACCATTAAAAAAAACCCAAAAAACAAAAAAACAAACCTCATTATTTCTCACTTCAGCACTATATGGTCTAGATCAATTTCATTCAAACTGCAGGGAGGGTCTGGGAGGGGGCAGTGATAGATCATGAAATACTGGTAATCTTCCCAACATGGAAAACATTCTATTCAGACTGTGTAACATTGCTTTCTTTCTGTGTACTAGACTAATGACTGAATTCTGTGACGCACGGAAGCCCAGGGCGGCGGCAGGCCAGGAAAACAGCAACCAGCTCCCCAGCCCCACATTACCTGCCCTCAGGGCGCCGTAGGCCCGGTAGAAAAGGAACACCGGATCGCTGCCCAGCCGCCCCAGCGCCTCATCCGCCGCAGCCCGGACGTGGTGGAAGTAGCCTTCTTGGCAGTAATAATTGAGCAGAGCCTGCGGGAGAGGCGACCTCGGTTCACTCGTGCAAACGCTTCACCCCGGGACGGCAGCAGACCGCGCCGACCGTCCCCGACCGACCCCGTCTGGCCGCTCGCCCTCCTGCCCCAGGCTCCACCACCTCTCCTGCGGCTCGCCGGCCTCAGCCCCTGCGCAGCCCCACGCCCGCGGAGAGGCCCGGAGCGGGACTGCGCCCGGCGGCAGCGCCCACCTGTTGCACCTCAGCGTCCATGGTTGCTACCCAGCGCCGCTGAGGGGGGGCCTCCGGAAGGGCGAGGGAGAGCCTGGCAGCACGCTGCCATTGGCTGGCTAGCAGGAGCGCCCACTGCCATTGGCTCGGCGGGAAAGGAGGCGGGAAAGACACGGGAAGAAAAACTTGTGGAAAACGCCGGAAAGTGTCTGGCGGCCCATTGGGCTCTGGGGAGATGGGGGCGGGACCACCCGGGCGGGAGGTCCCGTGCCATTGGGTGCGAGGGGCAGGGGGAGGGGTTTGAGCACACCTTGGCGGGCGGTGCTGGTGGGGGTGTGCGGCGCCCCCTGTCGGCGGGGACGGGCGGCCTCGCGGGCTCTCCCTCAAGAGTGCCTACACCAGTTGGTCTGTCACTGCCTGAACGCTGAATGGAAAGCTTCGAGAATTTGTTGATTTTCTTGCTTTTTGGGGACTGGACATACGACTAAGTGTCCCACACTCCATCTGTTTCATAATATATCTCAATACTGAGCACTTCAAGTTATGTGAGGCTTCTCTGTACAGATGAAATAGCAATGGGATAAAATGAAATACAGAAAGTTCTCTTCTTTTTTTCTCTTTCTTTCCTCCTAGGGAATTACAGAGTTGCAAAGACCAGTAAAATTCAGGTTTTCCCCTAGAGGTGAAAGCATCCTCAGTCATTTCTAGACACCAGAAGCAACCATTGCTAAGTAACATTCCTTTAGAACGGTTGTGGTGCCAATCCAACATGAAAACCGTCAATAATACCATTTAGTACAAGAAGGTGAACCCATCTTGCACTGAATTAGTAGGTGAAGCCGATTCTTCTAGCGGAGAGCGCTCAGAGCAAGCTTTCCTAACGAATTCACCACACATGGCACTACTCCATTACGCACTTCTCATACCCAGCATCAGGAAGGTGCCAAAGAAGTAGTATGTAGGCATATTCATTTTTCCTTGTTGGCCAAGATGATCCTCAAAATTTCCTGTTATGTTTAACTGATGCTCCACTTGTTCTGAAGTAACATTTCAGCTTCTGTAACAATGAAAACCTAAAATAGGTATGAGAAATGAGTATTTTTGTGTGGCCATGACCAGTGATCTGCAGTGACAGTGGCATAGTTCTCATTTGTCTTAAAACTATTTCCTTGAGAAAAGCAAAGTTTAAAAAGCTGTGTATAGAATATTAGGAAATATTGTTCAATTTACTGCCTTATTTTTGAAGTAGTCTATTTTTCCTGTCAGTTTGTGGATAATTTACATACTTTTTAAGGTAACCTTTTGAGACATATTTTGTCTACATGTTAATCTGAAAATACTTCTCTTTTCATTTTGATACTTACACTTTTCTATCAAAGTTTTAGACTTTTTTTTCATAATGCATTTCAGAACAATTTGAAGGAGAAACGTTTTCCTCCCTTGAAAGATTTATGATGAATTTCAGGGAAGATGCTATGAAATTTTATTTCTGCATTAGCAACTGAGCAAGCATACGGAATACAATTGCTCATAAACTGGTTTTATACTAGGTTCAGTATTCACCTCTGAGTGTTTTCATTGTAAATTGTAGGGGAATGAAATATAAAATTATGTAAGCGTGTAAAATGAACATTTTCAGAAATTCACTGAAGCAATTGGTAAGGAATAACTGACAGGCCCACTTTCCAGCTGCATTTGCAATTTTCCATATCAGTATCCACAAACGATAGCTTCTCGGAACATGGTGCTTCCAGAGAGATTCTTAAAAATTCCTGAGGAAAAGACTAATGGTTATTCACTCTGACGCTGATTCACCTTTTTCAGAAATGCACTTGAATATGAGATGTTTTGTAGCCTATTTGAGAATAGTAACTAGCAAGAATAAACTGGTTCTCATAATCCAAGCTGGGGACTCTCATGTATCTAGTACTACTTTCAATCCTCACTTTCTCTTTGTAAACTCATGAATGCTCAGTTCTCATTCCTGTAAATGCTCTGAGCCACCTGGGGCACACTCAGGACAGCTCTGGTATTTGATGGTTGAGTACCCCACTGCATGGAGCTGCTGCATGAACTCCTGAAGTTACTCAGGGCAGTACTATGGATACATGCAGAATCATCATGCTCAGTGTCTAACACGCATTGAATTAGAAATTCCTAGTTGGTGACTAACAAGCAACTCCCAAGGATTTGCTTACATGGAAAAACAGTATAGCTGGCTGTAAAGGTTTTCAGTATCCTCTCATTCTGCGGTTTTAGAAGCATGCCCTTTTTATATTAATGTCAGACTATAAAGACAAAAGGAACATACAATAAAAAATGTAATCTTTATTATTTTGGCGCATTAATAATGTTCTTTAGCATCAGTTAGGGTAATAGTAGCATTTTCCTGCATGCAGTTCACTAATACAGTATTAGTCAATAATTTTAATAAAAGTAATCTATATTTAATTTTCCTGTGTAAGAAACATAAAATGTCCTGATGTGTTGGATTATACAATTTTGCTACTTTCTCTTTGTGAAAAAATATTGTGGACCCAAGATAACATTTAGAACTGTTCTAGTGCAACATGAATCAAAAACAATCTGTGAGTAAATATGAGAAAAGATTAAGAATTCTGTGAAAGAAAGGTTGTATCTGAAAACTTATGATGCAGGCACTGCTTAGACATTCAATTTGAACTTTACACCATTTCCCAACTGCAAAAAAACTTAATTTTTAGAAGCAAATTATGAACTTATTTCACAGAAAGTATTGACATGTTTGCAAATATTGTAAAAAATAAGAACCTACAGCTATCCATTCTCTTAGTTATATCTCGTTCTCTGGAGTTTTTCTGTGAAAAAGAGCTATGGACAGAAATTAACAAAAATGGTGTGACATCAACCTGAAGATAAAATTCAGTTCTTGTTTTATGTACATAATGCTGAAAAATAAAATAAAATGATTTTTACAGTATTTATATTTGCTTATAAAATTCTAACGTTATTTTCAACAGGTTTAGTAGTTTTCAACATGTCTGTACAGTTTGGATATACACTATATGCTTTTCACTGAAAATTCGAAAACATAAAACAAATAAGCTCCTAAATAGCTGCAAAATATTGCTTAATGGTATGGAGGAATGAGGTCTTGTTGAGTAGTTTATTTCATTTAGCTCTGATGTATGGCTTCCCATATTTAACAATCCCAGACAGTCAAAGGAACAGCAGCATAGGCAATATAAACATGCACTGATAGCATCCAAACTATCTATAATGGTAGATAATACGTAATTTTACCTGTTGAATGCTTGCACACTACACTTATTGTGGTACATATTTGATGCAATAAATGTGCTTAGGTCATTATCTGTTTGCTCAAACATGCACCACAGGTTAAAAATGACTATTTACATCGCAGAGGGCTTTTCATTAACATGTACAACAACATCAGCCTTACTGAGAGCTGAAGATGGCTAAACAATACTGCAGGATAAAGCAGAACAACTTTATAAAGGTCTCTTTTTGATCAGTTTGGAGGGCTGAGGCAGATTCATTTTGTATTTGTAATGCAGAAAGACATTTGACAAAGACAAATTCTGCGACTCCAGACCTAGAAAGAAGTTTGCACTTTCTGAAACTTAATGGTCTGTGCAAAAAATAATCCATCTCTACTGTTCTTGTGAGTTATAGGGGACTTTACAGGCATACCAAGACTTGTTTGGATGTGATACACCATGAATACATCAATTAAGCACCTCAAAATCTGTTATTCCTTTCCAGAAGCACAGCGCTAAAAAAATCTGTTGTTCTTTGTGACTTAATGTTATTTTCATGCATGATCTATAAGTGCAGCATGCCTTCATGCAAATAATTTCTGTGTGTATAGTAGTTGTATAATAGAACACCTGGCCCTTGTACCTGTAAAGGTGTACTTCATCCCCTTCCCCAACAGAAGCCCCATTTACAAAAATAGTCACATATAATAAACAACATATGAATAAAAATAAGATGAATCCACCAACACAGATTTTGTAAAAATATGACGTATGTGGCAGTTGAAATGCAAACAGTGGATACAGTTACCGTATTGTTTTATGCTAAACACACAAATACTTGGTTTGCACCCCTTTAACTGGTCCCTACAGTCTGAGCAGCCACTTTTTCTCTCCTCTTCAGCAGTGTCAGCTGGTAGTGAGAACAGTAACCTCCTGTCAAGGTTGTTTCCCCATGTCACAGACAGAGTCACTGACGAGGGGTCACTGTCTTTTAATAGGCACTGACCTTTAATTTACAGTATATTTGTAAAAATTGTCAGTTTGGCATAGACCTCCAGCAGGAGTCCTGTTGACACAAACACATGATCCTTACAGTCTATGAACTATCTTGCACATAGATGATTTTGCTTGCTATTTGCTTTTATTTCTGAACATCTTTATCTTCCTTTTCATGCTTTTCTTTGACTGGCCTTGTTACACGATCGTAAGACGGTGGACAAACTGCTGTTGATGCGGTTATATCGGTTTTCTCTGTAAATGAGTTTTCATTTAACTTATCAATAAGGATTTCATCTTTCATACCCTGACCAGCCCCTCCTTCGGTTTTGTTTTTGTTATAGATAAAGGAAGCTTGTTTTACTGTTCGTTTTAAAAGGTGACGTCTATAAGCCCGTTGAATAATAACAGCAGATACTTCCTCCTGTTTTCTTTTTAGCGTGGTTGTAATTGGTTCATAGGAAGCTTTTGAAGGATTGGATGCCATAAACCGATCTTCCATCTGTATTCTGAGGGCATCCATCTCCCCACTTTCCCCCAAAACACGCTTTGTGAAAGCAAACAAGATGTCAAGGCAGTGAATTCTGTCACCGCTTACCATGGGCAGATCCATTGCAATAAGCTGGACTTTGTTTGGTTTGGGTAGATGAAGAGGAGGCTCAAGCGCTGCTGCAAAATCAGACAATTTCTCAAATTCCATGAATTGTGTTGCATCGGGATCAAACTTCTCCCAGACTTCATAGAACATCTCAAAGTCATCCTCGCTCAAGGGTTCAGCGCTTTCTTCAGTAGCAACACCAAAGTTCTCCAAAATCACAGCAATGTACATGTTCACCACTACCAGAAATGATATGATAATGTAGCTGACAAAGAAGAAAATCCCAACGGAAGGGTTGCCGCAGTCACCTTTCACAGAGCTCCCCGGATGATCTTTATGGGGGTCACAGTCTGGCTCCCCACTGTTAAGAATTGGGGCTAGCAAACCATCCCAGCCAGCAGATGTGGTAATCTGAAACAGGCAGATCATGCTGTTGCCAAACGTTTCAAAGTTGAACATGTCATCGATCCCAACTTCCCTTCCCGCTTAAGCAAAGTTGGACATGCCAAATATCGCATAGATAAACATGACCAGGAAGAGCAGCAGGCCAATGTTGAACAAAGCAGGAAGAGACATCATCAACGCAAAAAGCAGAGTGCGGATTCCCTTAGCGCCTTTAATGAGACGCAGGATTCGACCGATTCTGGCAAGTCGGATGACTCTGAATAGTGTGGGGGATACAAAATACTTTTCAATCATCTCGGCTAAAAACATGCCTAAAACAGAAAACAATAAAACCAAGATACATTACCACTTAATCTCCATATCATAGTACAAATTTAGAAAAACAGTTTTAAAATTGGTGGTTCCATGTAACAATTAAAGATATTCTGTAGATTCCACTTGCATAATATCTGTTATACCAGTTATACTTAATATTTGCAGGTGCAATATATGTTGAATGATTATAACAGTTTTGATGGTTGGATTAGGTAAATTATTAGATAAAATGAAAAGTTGCATGTCTTAGTTGTAAACCTTGCAATGGCAAAAGCCAACCATATAGCTCTATTCGAGTAAAAGTTCACCTCATAATCATTTTACCCTCTTTTATTTTAATAAATGAGCCTTACCTACTATTGAGAGAATGACAACTACAAAATCAAAAATGTTCCAGCCTATAGTGAAATAGTAATGGCGAAGTGAAATTAATTTCAGGACACATTCTCCAGTGAAAAGGACAATGAACACCAGGTTTATCCAGTATAAAATATTTTCCATTTCTTTACTCTGGTCATCAGTTTCTACCATCATGGTAACCATGTTAAGACAAATAAGAATCATGATGCTGATGTCAAATACTTGCTGTGTCACAAAATCAAAGACCATGCCTTGGAATTTGTTCTGAGGAGAAAAAAAGAAAAAAAACAAACATCCAATATAAACGGTGGGGTTTTTTTCTTTTCCTGTTAGAAGAAAGTAGAAAAATACATGCAGTAAAGCCTATGAGACTTCAATAAAAATGTAACTAGTGATCTTATGTAGTCAAATTAAAGTGAATGCAACAGCTTAGTTCAGTCTCCTTTGTTTGTATATTCATACATAAAATGGTTGCAAGGGAAAAATATTTTTTTTTACTGTGTTTTGATTTTCCATTTTTGCTGACTGATACACTAGGTAATGATAATTTTCACATGGGCATATTTCGGCTCTCTATGTATCAATTAAAACTGAGCTGTTTGGCAATAGCTATTGGTCTGATGCATATAAATAATTTTACCCCTGGTCTTGGTATAGGTTTTTGTGGTTTTTTGGATCCCAGCTTTTTCATTGCATTGTAGTATTTCTTCTGCTCTTCTGTCATAAATATGTCTTGACCTCCAAAGTAAAAACATGAAATCAAAACTGGTTATAATCACATTTATATGTAGTGTTGAAAAAACTCTTAAAGAGAAATTCTATTTATTTATTTGTTTGTTTATTTAATGGAAATCAAGAAGACTGAATTGGGAAAAATCTCTTAGCTATCAAATGCAGCTGTCTGCAATCTAAGTATTTAGTCCAGAAGTTGTCTGGACATCCAATACTGCATCTCACAAAAATGGTACTGCAGCATTTTTCTACAGTTACTTTCCTTGAACTCCGAGAAATCCTTTTCAGTACCTCTTTTCTTTTAGAGGAAGAGATACAGTAAACAGCATCTGAGATAAGCTGAAATAGTCTGGGCTGCTCAGTACTGTCACTTCTGAACTGCAATTTTATTGAAACAAAGGAAGCAGACAAAGTCAGGTTTTCAGTACATGAATGTATTAGTGCTTTACATATCTCTAGTTTAGCAATCACAACATTAGCATTGGGACTCAAAGTCTTCAAGGTTTTTGAGAAGGTGGATTATCAGACTTTGCAGAAACTGAGCTGAAGCACTCTTGATACTGTTAACAGCAAAATGCTCTCTTTTAAGTCTTTTATCTTTATTAGCTTCCATGTTCAATGAAGTTCTGATTAGCAAAAGCCAGAACTGGCCTTTGGAGTCTGACAGTGAAGATAAAGAGAGAATTACGGGTCTTTTACGGCAACCTAACCAAAATCCACTGCCCATAGTAACTTTCTTGTAGAGACAGCTTGAATGAAAACCCATCAGACTCCACATACCTCTTGAAGTAATTTTTTCCTGGATAAAAGATACTTGCAGACATCCAATTCCGGGAATGTCTATGAGCACATAGGACTGGATGCAACCCTTTTGTGGATAAGTGTTTGGGAAGCTTGAAGACATGGGAGTGCATGCACCGTATGCTGGACAGGCTGCCTAACCATATACCTCTAGGCCCCCAGCATTTACAGCTTCCAAAAATCTTACTTAGCGTTCTCTCATTAGTAACATAAACCCACAGAAGGTGATGAAGTCCAGTAAGGTAAAAGTTAAACTACTAATTCATAGCTGCTTTTGTCCTTTAGCTTTCATTACCTTATCTATTTACAGAAAATAATTTTAAAGATGAGCATCTGATACTCAGACCATCTATATCAGTGAGATTATCTACATCTGCACTGTGAAACAATAAAAAAAGGCCCTGACATAGTTACAAACCACTCCTGTTCTGTATAGTTTCAGATCGTTCAGTGCCACAAAGTAGAACTTGAATACTTGGGATCATTAAGACAGCATCTGTAGTAGTGGGATGAAATAATGCTTTATTTTTCATAACCAGGTAGCTATTCTTTTTTGTGCTGATAGAAGCACTACAAATCAAGAATAAAAAAATCAAGAAATTATGAGTGCTTTAATGTAGAGGCCTAAATCAGGGGTTTGATCATGTAAGATTTCATGAAGTTTAGGTATGGAAAAGCAGACGACTTAAGGAATACTAAACTGGACATTGAAAACAGAAGGGTCTGTCCCATTCACTACAATGTAAAATCTTATGACCTCAATGCATACTACATCTTGGTAAGATTTTATATCCTAATATACTTCAGCTTTTTCAATTTTGAACAAACCTTGGGTGGACATTCCATATATCATGCATCTGCAAAAATGCAATATTTTAGAATATATTTAGAGGAGAAATGAGACAATACTTATCTTCTTTTTTTGCTGATTGAAGTTATCAATAATGACACCAATGAACAGGTTCAGGGTGAAAAAAGACCCAAAAATGATAAAGATGACAAAATACAAATACATGTACAGGTTGTCTTCATACTTGGGTTGCTGTAATACCTAGGGAAAAAAGTGTGAAATATCATTCCTAAGATTTCATGTGAAAATTTCAACTGAACAAGTGGCAACCTTAGGCTAAATGTTCTTAATATTTTGTGTTTGGACAATACTCCTGTCACTTACATGAATGTATTTTTTCCATTCCATCTATTACTGACAGCATCTGGCAGTTTGCATTCAGTTTTCCACAATTTGTTACAGCAGAATCTCATATTAGTTAATTTAATTTTGTTTCATTCTATTGTTTGGTTATTAATTGCTTTTGGAAGATATATAAATACACACTTGTTGATAGACAGACCTCAAGAAAAAAAGATAATTTAAAATATTTGCAGTACTTACATCTCTTGAGTCAATAGCTGCATACATAATATCCATCCAGCCTTTAAATGTAGCCTGTAAACAGTACACACCTGTTTAAGCATAAAGCTTGAAGACAATTCATATAATTATTTCCAGCAACTGAGTACAGCATGAGGAATAATTAGCATACCATAAGATTTCTAATTAATTTTGTCTCTTGGCTTTCTTCACAGCTGCTCATCGGATACATTGCAGTGTATCCCCCTATTTTGTCTCTATATGAACATTTTAAGCAGTAAGCTTAATTAACTGATTTCTAACTAATTATCACAAATGATAGAATGCAGTATCATTTTAGTGGACTAAATGTTCATCAAATCATGTCAACTGCAAAGGCTATGTACAGCTGAGAAATAGCCTTATGTAACTGAGTTGCCACCAATGAAGACTGATGTGTAGTCCCTCCTGCTCAAATCAGTCAGAAAGGTGGCAACCAAAGGGAACCAAAAATTTGATCAGCTCGGAAAAGGTATTTTCCTATCAAGCAGAATTTTGATTTTTCTCTACTTTGAAAGACTTTACCTGATTTAGTAATTCTATTTTCACTTAAAAGATATTGTATTGTGTTTTACAGAGGCTAGATGCCTCAGATATGTTCTCAGATAAACTGGTAAGAGGATGTGTTTTATGTGCATCGAAGATTTAATATGCCTCATAGATGGCAGCATTGTAGTGAACTTTTATAGCTGTTTCCTTAGCCCAAAATCTGTAAATTTTTATATTTGACAGTGAGGTGTAGAATGCTTCATGCAAGCGTTCAAAACAGAAAGTAATTTTCTCTGTTGCAGCAACTACTTCTCTTTTGACTAGGCAACATCTCCAAGTGGAAATCACTCAGTTTTTAATCCAGTTGTGCCCAGAATAAAACAAAGAAGTGAGATAGTTCTCTGTCATTTAATCCCTATTATAATTTTGCTAAACAAGGCTGCAGATCATTGGTTCCTCCATATTCCTTGCCATAGAGACCAGTTGCAGAAACAAGTCAGGAGTGGAACAGTCTTCATCCATGGTTATTGCTGTGTCTCCATCATCTTGAGGTTTTATTTCTAGTGGAGGTTTCAAAAAGGCTTTGCTTATGCAGCATACAAAGCAGCTGGCATCATCCTGAAGTGAACTTAAAATGAGAAGGAATTATTTCCTTAAAGGAAAAGAGGTCCCTTACACTTTTGAAACAGTGCAATACTAAAAAGACCATGATTATCCTGAGATGCAAATCCAGTATGCAACAACTTTCACATCTCGGGGCCAACACAGGAAATATGAAGTTCAAGTAACTTACAGTACAATGGTGAAATCAAAATGTAGTATCAGAGGACCAATAAAACAACAATAAATCTGAAACAAGGAGAAGTCTCAGCTGAAGAATTTAAAGTCCTTGTGGAATATGTGGACTGCAAGGGATGAGATGATGTAGGATCAGCTTTCTTTATTTAATTCCTAATATATGTTTAATTTGTTCTCAAAGACTTTTAATGATGGACATTCCACAACCTCATAAAAACCATTTATTCTGGCACTTGTCTTTATTGCTTCCTAATATCTAAATCCTTCTGTTGCCATTTAAGACTGTCACTTGTCATAATCATTACATATCTGGAGAACAGAGTACTAATCATCCTTTGTGGAGCACCTTTTACTTATTTGCAAACTGTTTGTGCTGCCTTTCTTCTTTAGGCAGTGATCACTGTTCCTTCAATATAGATCTTGTTTTCCAGAACTCTGATCATTCTCATTATTTTCCTCTGAGCTCTCTTCCACCATTTCATCTCTTGAAATGGTAACCAAAACTGGACTCAGTATTTCAGCTGAGGTCTTACAAGGCCTAAATAGGGCAGGATGATTACTTCACGCCATACAGGCACTACTTTTGTTTCTGTCGTGGTACATGATTTGCATTTTTTGGAATGTCGTAACTTAGGTTGAAATCAGCACTTCAACCTGAACCACTAAATGCAAATAATGAGCATACTTTTACATCAGAAAGATGATACAAATTATGGAGTGGCTCTTCTACAGTGTGTGCTGTTGCCTCAGATTCAGACACATGATGATCCTTGCATATCATCCTCCAAGCAAAGTGGAATTACTGGTTTTTGTAAATTTATTGGTGTAGCCTATACTAACTAGAGTGAATGGAAAAAAAGTAGACTAATTTTAAAATATTAAGCTTCACCATCATCAGTAAAGTACTCCATTATAAATGGACAGTACCTTTCAGCTAGTGCTAGGAAAAAGATCTGAAGAACTGAGCAGTTGTATGCTTATTATTATTATTAAAAAGGCAACTTGAAAAGAGTGTGGGGGTGGAAAAATATAAATATAACATATTACTATCTTGCAGTTCAAAATATCAGAAGTAAAATGTGTATTTTCCACAATGAGTTTCACAAAACCATAAGATATTACCATTATTGAAGAAATGAAGGAAAAAAAAATTAAAACCTAATTAAAATTAAGTAATTTTAATAGTAAAATATCCTCCCTCATCATATTATTTGTTTTATTCCAAATCCCTCCTGGAAATCAGTAGGAATCAGTGAATATAATCATCATTATGCAAAACCATTTACACTAGTTGAGAACTTAGCTGTTAGAAAACGGATTCTTAATGCTCAAAGCAGAAGCATCAGTTCAGTAGGAGAACTTGTAATTTTTTAATATGTTGCCTGAACAATAGCAAATAATGGAACTGGAGGTTTACTTCAAGACATCACATTTAGTGAAAAAGAGTTATTTTACTGCATTCAGTAGAAGCTTAGGCCTGCTTAAGTTAGGCTTAAATTAATCTGCAAGACATTTTCTTTAATAGAAATAAGGTATTATTTGGGCATTTGTGCATACTGAATAGAAAATAACATATGACTAAGAAATATGACTAAGAGATCAAATCCTTAGTTTCCTTTTTGTATATTCAAATATAAAAGTATGTTGTATATTCCCAGTGACACTAAATCAGGAGTAATTCATTGATTTCAAAGATTACAGCAGTGTAACTGAAATGAGCATCTGTTCCAAATGTTTTTTTCCCCAAGGAAATCTGAAAGACATATATTCAAATGCAGATTCAAATGTAGTTAGAAAAACCAACAAAACAAAAATCCCCTAATCTACTTTACTATTGTTAAAACTATGTAGACGTAGACTATTTTCCCTGATGAATAATGTCTAATGAAGTTATAAGTAACGCTGGAATTTCACCACTCCATTTCTTTACCAGAAATAACCACCAGGAAGATTCACATTCCCTTTTGGAGATACAATAGCATCTTGCTTTTAAAATACTAATCTGCTGGAACTTTGAAGCCATCCTGATCTTACAGGCCTAGAATTCAGCTTCTGATTGTTTTACTCTACACGTAACAAGATGTGTTTTCTTATTTATATTAGTAACAGCAGAATAATATAACATTGTGCTTTGAGACCCGCTGCTTTGCCACATTTTATCCTGGTAAGCAGGGTACACGCTTACCAGCAGGATAAAACCAGGCCTTCAGGAGATTTACTTACCAAAGAATCCAAACACTAGGTTCAAGCTAAAAAGGCATAAAGCCATAAAATTATCAGGGCAGATGCCATATCTCTTTGTGTACACCAACCTCTTCCTCTTCACTCACTGATGCATGAAAATTGTGAAAGGAATTTCTCCAGCAGATCTGTCTCTGCTTTGATGCTTTTCTTTAGGGACAGAGAAATACTCAAACAAGTTCAGACCGAGAAATGAAAAAAGTTCGCAGATCCACATAGACCAAAATGAGCTACGCTGGATCATAGAAGAAAAAATCTTATAGAGTGTGTACTTATATGACTGATAGCATGAATATTTACACTCCAACTTCAAATTATGTAAGAATTTCGGAAAATAGTCTCTGATCAACAAAGTCTATAAAACTTGGTTATATCAACAGCATATATTGTTAGCCTGTCTTTTTGGGCTGAAAGGATTATAACGTTGCTATCACTACTAAAGATTTTCCACACACACCCCTCCCCCAAAACAAAAAAAAATACTATATGCAAACCAAAAATTAGTTTATGTCCTTTTCTTAGGTCCCTCATTCCAGAAATTCATTCCTCATCACCATCAAGGAAACTCAAGAAAGAGCTTCTCAGAGAGTTCTTTTTGCTTAAAGAGCCACTGCCACACATTTCCAATCTATTTTTTGAGCCTAGAATATTCCTTTCTGAAATTATTCCACTTCTTGTGAGTATTTATATGAGAAATATCTATGTTTCTTTTCTATATTATTCTTTAAAAAGAGGGTATTTTTCTGCAATGAACAGACCCATATACTACCAGAAAAGGCTTTTCATGATTCAAAACAAAAATTGTTCATGGGACTCATTTGTGTCTTTCCCAGAATAATGGGAATTTCCTGGTCCTCAGTGCCAGGGTCTCGAGTTCTTTTGGCTTGTTTTCATTTGGATTTTTTTGGGCATGAAAATAGTACTACTTCCAGTAGTATTCACTCCAGATAGAAAACTTCAGTGATGCAGAAAATAAAGATTTATGTTGTATTACCTATAACCCAGAAAAGCTGAAGGGATTTACAGTATTCTTCTTTGACTGGCTTAAAGGGCATGAGTCAGAGGGTAGAATGGAGGATGGAAATAATACTGGATTGTAAGAGGCAGCTTTTTGTAGTTAGTTTCTAGCTTTCTGAAAAAGGGACCTTGTATCTGTAATTCATGCATTGGTACTTATCACTGAGGTTGTCATTAGAAAAATGACATTGAACTCTATGGAGTTATTTTCTCAGATCCATCACAACCTAAACAAAAGTCTGTGCCTGAGGTTGTTAAGGTGGAGAACCAAATGACTTCAGTAGACTTTTCAACTCATCTTTAAGATGTTAAAAAGGCCATTAATGTTCACATTGGGTGCACAGAAAGCATATCCACTTGCACCATGATTTTTTATTCCAATTTTTCAGGCTTAATACCTTATTTTGGGCCAAATACTCATGTTTCAATAGCTTTACCTTTTTTTCTAACATAGTAATGGATACCTCTAATTAATTCTTAGTATTTACTCATCTTTACTATTACTACAAGCTGATTAGGAAGGGTAGGAAAATCTAGGATTATGACATACCTATTCACTTCTCATGTTTCTTCTGAACATGATGGCTTTAGAATCCTGTTCTAGATTCTCATCAAAAGTACTTTATATATCAAATAGAAAATCACTTTATAAATATCTTCTTTGATTGAGAAAGTGATATAAGAGTCTCAAACATTTATGAATTGTGGCCTTTCTTGTGTTCTTGAAGGTGAAAAAAACCATAGATTCTGCATATTTTAAAGCATTAGCTGAAAATCAAGCCAATATTTTGCTTTCTCTGCCCTAGGGCTTTTATCATTCCATAACTCCAAAATCACTACTAGCAGCTTACTTACCACACCCTAAAAGATGCAGAGCCAAGTGTCTGTTTTGTGGAATGACAGAAATGCCCCATTTTTTTCTGGCCTGTCAAACAAAAAAATCTCTTCATGCTTTTACAAGCATTTTAGTAATACAGAAAAAATAAGTAGTGTTGTCACTGACATTCTACTCACACAGAAAAAAATCCATCCATTAGGCAAGCCTTTGATATCAGTGCAAAATCTCTGTATGGTAGATAATGCAAAAACCACTGGCTTGTCCTCCCATGAGACCTAGGTCCTGCTGTGGTAGGTTTAGATTAATTTTTCCTTTGGAAGCATGGGAACAATTGGAAAATTTCTCCCAATTTGCCTCCTAGAACAATCCAATAATTTAAGAATCTAAGTCTTCATATAAAAAACACTTGTTGCTTTTCAGTGAAGAGAATATGGAATAAGCTATGCATAGCCGGGACACTGAAATACGTATGACTGGCAGTAGCTGAGGGGTGGTTACTGTGGCCACAAAGCCAGGAAAAAATGTGCCTTGTGTTATCCCTGTCCCAGAATAGACTAGGTTACGACTGGAAGAAGAGTTGCAAACCACTTGGAAAGAGTTTTGTTGATGTCTTGTTTCTCCTGAACATGTGTAATAAAGCATTCTGCCCCCCCAACCCCAAAGGGGATTCTAGGCCAGTGGATTTCAAAAATAAGACAGAGAAAATAAATATTTAAAGTCTTTCTATTATAATCCAATTTTGTTATCAAAATCAAATTGTATTCAGTAGTTTATTTCATTAATACTCCTGGTTCCTCTCTGCTCTTTCCTGATGTGACAGTAAAGTAAATAATTAATCATAGTGAAATTTAAATTGTCAGAGTTATCAGTCACACAGGTGAGACACTATATTAGCTGGGAGAGGCAGTTCCCAATGCTCAGAACTATTGTTTTAGACCCTGTACAGGAGCATGTCAATACCACAGCATCATGTTAACGATTTGTATTATTGAGATTTCTTATGCCAACATAAAATTCAGAAACTTATTTAAAAACTGTAAAAATGAAAACTAAGATTCTGCAGAATTAGACAGTAACCGCAAAAAAAACATAGAGGTTGCTGACTGCACACAACATAGGTTAGAGTCCAGCATTTTCTTGACTAAAGCTGGGTCAGGTTGTTAGTTACTCCAAAATACAAAGATAGTGAGTGTTGTGAGGACACAATTTTTGATAGTGAAGGCATAACCTTATAGTATCTTTCTGCATATTATTTTCTTCCTTCTTTTCTTCCCTCAGTTTTTGCTAAATAAACTCCAGTAGGTGCTTATGCACAGAAATAGCAGGGAAAATTTTTCAGATGTTATAGTATCTAATGATATTTTTCTTTTCCTATTTCTCTTCTGAATGAGAAATTGCTTCTTAGATCACATAAGTCTGCACTGGTGGCAGCCACATCACTGAGATGGGATTTCCTACCTGGAGTTCTTCTCTGTGACTTAATCACACCAATGCAGATTTTGGTTTTTCAGCAACAGTAAAACTTCAAGTATTCAGATAGCTGAATACCATTCCTAGGTACTTCTAGAAACTTTTAAAGTCAGAAGGTGCTGGAGGACTCAGGGAGTTATAGATAGGAAGAATAGCACTTGTTCTGTCAGATGTCGTAAAAATTCTTTATTCATCTTAGTAGGCTCTACTTGCTGCTTACTATGAAAAGAGTAATCAGTGCAGCGGTATTACTAAGTCACAGATAAAAATCATCAGGTAAATATGTTTTCTGTCTTTGTTGCTAGAATTGCTTTTCACTATTACATATAAACAGTAAGAGGTATATAAAGAGTGATCACTTACTACTTGAAGTAAAGAAAGATACCCAAATCCTACATTATCAAAGTTTACTTTCACGTTTTTCCATCGGGCACTTTGATTGTTTTTTATGAGTTCCTCGCACTGACTAAAATTGTTGATTTGGTCGACTTCAAACCTTTCATCAGTGGTGGTGTTAACACAGTAGTAGAACTTCCCAGCAAACAGATTTACTCCCATGATGCTGAAAATTAGCCAGAATATAAGACAAACGAGAAGCACGTTCATGATGGATGGAATTGCTCCTAAAAGGGCATTCACAACCACCTAGTACACAAATACAGGGGAAAAAAGAAAAGAGTGTAAGAATATTTACAGTGATAAAGGTTTGTATACTGTTTTACCAATGCTTAAGAAATGCTTGTTCAGAAACTAGTACTATAAATGTTAAAGCAGTACGTTAATAACTGTAGCATTGCACTGTTCTTTTAAATACTTAACATTAGAACATGTAATGAAAGGAAAATAAGTGACAAAATTAAAATAATTAACAGAAAAACAAAAGAGAAAACCTGGTGGTAGTAAGATGAAGCCTGACACTGATGTGTTCTATATAAAAAAGACAAACATGTTAAATATAAATACAGACATAATAAAAATGCATCAAATTATAGCTTAAAAATGTTTAAAGAAAAATGGCAGCCTGTAGATTTGATCAACATAGCTTTGAAATTTAAGCTGAAAACACAAACGCCATGAATCTAGAAACTAAGCTCTACATTAAAAGGATTATGCAGGAATTAAATACGTATCTTTGTTGCCTTATTGTTCCATGCAAGATTATAACAAAGATTAATTTCTTTGTATAGAAAAGCAAGACAAATTTGCAATATGTGTCTACTTGAATCAACATAATTTATTTCAAGCTCCAGTCTTATTGTTTCATGTATTGAGTTTAAGTCAGTAATACCCTTCATTTATCTAAAGAAGGACATATATCAAGCACATATTTAGGGGTTTTGATTTTGCATTTTAAATTACTTTTGGCCAGTTGCCTTCACAGCCCCTTGCAGCAAAATGTCAATAATTACTTATGTAGATAAAAAGTGTATTCTTCTGATATATACAGTAATTAATCACATGTGTCTGTCAGAGCTATGAAAACTTTTGTGATATTTGTTTGGCTAATAGCTGAGCAATCATTTCTCCTTAAGTATCCAATACCAGATCTTATTTACAAGTTATATTTTATTTTAAATTTTACTTTTTTTCTCTGTAAAACTTTTAGGACCTTGTAGGAAAGTAAAATAAAATATATAGTAGGGCTCTGATTCTCAGTAATCCAATTCCTGCGGTAAGACAGGAAAGGATTGGCATGGATACTTGGGGTGTATTAAGGTATCTTAGCCCATCTTTGTTCCCTGCTTTCTGCAACTTAGAGGGATCTTCCCCACTACCAATATAATTCTGAGCAAGCTTAGAGCTGCTCAATCTTACTACCTGTATTTCACAGCCTCTTGAAGGCCTTTGGAAGCGGAGTATTGTGGTTGTGTTACTCGTCACTCAGCACCCTCCTCCTCCCAAATGTTATGGCCAGGAATTAGGACCTGTTTAGAGATCTTAGGTAGAAGATGTTATTTTCAGGGCATATTTTCTTCTCGTTTTAAGGGCCTCCTCCATTGCCAGATAGTAAAAACGGGACCTTTCTGTAACTGACAATTATCCCTATCTTTTATAAAACCATGATTTTTTTCAAATTTATTTTTTCTTGGTGGCTTCTATTTTTGGTGATAACTTTAAAGGAAGCATGCCTGCTTCTTGAGTTTTCTATTATAGAAAATGTGAAGTATCTAGCTGATGCATGCATAAGCTAGCCATTTAAAAAAAACGTTTAAAAAGTCTAACAAGGTCCCAGTAATATTCTGAAGATAAGAAACCATTTTCAAAGGAGTGAGGAAAATGGTTTTTTACTGTCCTGTGGGGAGAAGAAATCTGTTGCTACTTAGCTTGATGGAACTGAGAACAACATAAAAATTAGGAATGCAATGATTCTGGAATTTATTCCAAGTCTGACCTGATCTATGACACTGTATTATGCTATTGCTGCTTTGAAATTCTAGGCCAGCTAGTGCTTATCTTTTTCTTTTTTTTTTCTTCACCCATAAAAATGTTCTGGATGTGTTATACTGATTGAATTCCTCTGTTTAATCTTGGTGAAAAACCTGAAAATAAAGTTGTCAAGAAAGAAAGATGGGGATTTAGTCCTGCAACTTAAATAAATTAAGGTTACAGGTGCTCACACGAAGAGTGATTTTGTATGAATTGAGTGCCTGTAGCAGTTACCTTTTTAACAACCCTGAGATCCATTGGACCACAGCACAGATCCAGAACAGGCAGCAGAATACTAACAGCTACAGTAATTGTTACAACAATTGTGAATTGATAATAGTTGTAGAAAGAAAGATTTCTACAAAATGCCATCAGCGTGTCTCGCATCTTTAGATGAACAGGTAATGCAGTCTTGCTACTGAGACTGCCAAAAGATCAGCCACATCTTCTTGAATAAGAAGTGAACAGCTTCCAGCAACTGTTCCAACAACGGTTCCAACAACTTATTTCATATAGGTCACTGAAAATCCATCAAATGGTAACAATTTTTGGTCACTACTGACCTGGCCTGGATGCGAACTGGTGACCTAGAGATGAAAGGCTCTGTATCCTATTACCAACCCCTTGAGCTATCCAGTCCCCCTGGAAGGTTTTTTAAGAAAAGAAGAAAAGAAAATTAAAACTTTTAGAAGTTGTTTTCTGTTTGCATTTTGTTTTTGTTTGATTTTTGATTTTTTTTTTCCCCACCAGTGTTGAGCCTTTGCCCTATCGTATTTAAAATGTAAAACTGCATTTTTACATGGTGGTCAGATGCTCAGCTGACTTTAAAGTCCACCTTAGGAGGGAGTCTTTAATTTCTTCAACACATACAGTTGGAGGCAATTGTTTTATCAGTGGTTTTTTCCATTTACTTTTTTTCGTATTTGCTTTGGGAATAGCTGAGGTATATCAGGATAACCAGGACATTATTTTACATAATATGTATCCAAGATAGCACTCATACATACACACATGACACCTACGCACATAAGTTACAGCAAATGGACAGAAAAGAAGTGAGAACCAATTGAAAATTGAACTGAATGCAGAAAGTAAAATTGTGAATCTCGTATTGTTGAAAAGAGTCTGTAGTGGGTTAAAAGAATGTTGGCAACTACAGCTCTTATTTTTGCTTGTTCTTCAAATCTAGATCAGATGTATGTGATTCTAAACGTATTTTTTATTTTAAAAGGGGCTGTTCTTTTGGGCCTATTTTCTGTTGTTCCTTGATACAGAATATAATGCCAATAAATTGGAAAAAGGTGTTTGCAGAGTTGTTTGTTTGTTTAAATTACCTATGCGTTTCCTCAAGGTCGGGATGTTGTTGGTCAGGCTGACTCTGGTGAGCAAGCTGCAAAACCCCAAGCTGATTCTGCTTGTTCACCTTCCTATAGCTTCAGGTAGGTGGAATAGCAGTAAGTGCAAGTGAGAAGCAACACCTGACACCTATAGACAAATGGGCTCTAGACTATTTTACATCTTAGTTGATATTCATCCAGGAAAGAAAAAATCATTGTGGGAAGCAATGTCTCCTCTAGAAGAAAGCAGTATTTCATATACATACACAATTTTTTCAAGTTTACCTTTTCATAACATTTATCTTCCAACATCATATATATATGTAAGATAAAAGAATTACTGCAATGTTAATTGTCTTATCTTCTGGCTGATATGACATTATGTCAATACAAATTAGCAGTCCAGCTGATTTTTGTTGTTGCTGTTTATATCTTTTTCTTGAACAACTGTCCAAAGAAGACAGCAAAATGGAACTGGGAAAAAAAAAAATTCAGTTTTGCTACCAGAGCTGTGCATATGTATACAATGAGGATTGTGCAAAATACCAGCTTGTTCCTGCTGTATGAGTAGAATACAAGGAAGCTTTACTAGATTCAATCTTGCTGTGGGACACATACCTGAAACACATAGTGAGATATAAATGTATTATAGTTCCCACAGCAAAATAGCTTCAATAGATCCTGGCACCTGAGCAGCCACGGGCTTTCCAGGAGTTCCTACATTGGATCTGACTAATGGATATTTCAGGGCCTCCCGAAATCTGTAAACAAACCAGGAACAATCTTCAGTAGTACTTATCCATTTTTTCCATAACTTTTGCAGCTTCTGTGAAGAAGTTCCAAACTCTGTCCCTGGTGTAAATGAGGAGGAAGTTACCATCTTTGGGATGGAAAGGAAGATTATAGGATTATGTCTGGAACATTCTTCCTACTTAAAATGACAAAGTACTTTATTTGTCTCCACTTCAGAAGTTGTCAACTTCAAAATTTTAGGCTTAAACAGGAAAAGTTTCCCAAAGATTTGATGTGCCAGACCTTGTATCAGAGTCCTTTGAAGGAGTCAGTCAAAGGATATAGAGGTTATTTAACTGTTACCTCATAATTTTTTCTGCATGTACATGCTCACGTAAGATTCACGTACACAAGCACAGAAAGCCAAATAATTTTTACTTCACTGGGACCTTTATGGATTAAATCAAACCTTATCTTCTATGCATGCTATATGGCCCTAACAAACATAAGACATGTTGCTCCTATACTCTATTCCTTGATAGGTGGGAAAGCCTCAGAAAGCCTTCAGGAACTCCAAGGAAGAAGAACAAATTGTGGACTTGAATACATATGTCCAAAAAAATGAATAGTTTCTTTCTCTTTAAGTGACTATCTGTCTAGTCACACAGTCGTAGCCTTCAGATGGTGCTTGTTACAAAAAGCCATTCACCTCTCTCTTAGCAGTACAAAGATTGAAGAGCCAGTTGTTCAAAGACAGCAGCATGCAGAGGGAGTTTGACAATAGCATACGTAGCATAAGCCACATTAGAGCAAAACAGGAAAATTCGTTCTTGACTCAAATGAAACACTGACACTGCCTTGGGCAGGATTTGAGAGTAAGCTATGACTATTGCTTTGTCTTGAACAAGTATGAGCTAAGAACATCTGCCACAAGATCATTATCTCCCCTGCTCAACTGGCCAAAGTCCAGATGTACACAAAGCTTCCAGAGAGAGCATTTGCACTGAAAGATGAAGAAGGGAACAAGTAGCCATTGGTTTAGATTCTTGGTCCCCCACAGAGCTAAGATTACTGGAATGAGCAGGTAGGTATGCCATAAGTGGACAGGAATGGAGGCTCAGGTGACACACATGATCTGAGTTTAGCATT